CGGACCAGGAACCCCAGCCACGAAGGCTGGGGCTCGGAGAAGCCGCCAACCCTCATCGGGGTGGTGACACAGACGGCGAGAACCAGTCCCCCGCCGGGATCTGGTTGAGTCGTTATCGCCCAGCTCCCTGTCGGAGTTCGGGCGGCCTCGATCAGGAGCCGGTCGCCGAGGTGACGACGCGGACAAGGGGAAGAGCCAGCTGACGGAGACGGAGCGGCGGCCGGTGTTTGGAAGGTGGGGCGCCGATCGCCGGCGTTAGGGTCGGCCACGACATAAGTGGGAGCCGCGAACCGGGTCGGGCGAGCGGGTCGAAACCGAGTAGGGTTTGGCTCTAGGATTTTGTTCGAATGGGCCGAATAGACTGTGGGCCGGAGTTTTAGAGTTTTAGGGCTTTTATTTTCTTGTTGGGCCTCAATTTGTTTTAAAAAGAATTTTGGGCCGGGCCCTTTTCCTTTAAAAAAAAAAATAAAAGGTAAAATTTTCGACCGGGCTCAATAAATGAGCCCGGTTTGATCGTGGACCCAGGCCGGCGCGCCCGAGTTAGTCTCGATCCGGGTCGGATGTGGAGATCCGACCCGGATCCCTTTTTATATTATTTATTCTTTTAATATTTTAAAAAAAAATTTTAAAAAAAAAATTTCGGGTCGGATGTGGAGGTCTGACCCAGTTTTTTAAATATTATTTTAACATTAAAAAAAATTAAAAAATTCTAAAAAAAATTTATTTAAAAAAATAAAAAAAAAATAAAAAAATTTCGAAAAGTCAGAAAATTTATTTGGACTTTGGAATTAGCTTTTCTTGCCCTTTTTGCATGATTAGTGTCATTTTTTTTATTGCATGTTGCTTGTTTCATAACTTTGAATTGTGCGTTTAACTTAACTTCGCATGTGGTCGATTATGCATGTTAGGTTGTAGATATTGATTGTTGCTTCCCTTAGCTTAGTTAGGAATGAAATTTTGAGACTCCCGATTAGTGTGAACACGTTAGGCGGTAATTGAACAAGGTTAGGTACCGAAAGGGCATTAATTGGTCAATTAGTGTAACCAAGTCCCCGTACCCATTGAATCTCTGGTTCGTAGAAGTGAAGCATTTCTCCCGTGCTTCACTTGGGTGTCTAATCGACCCACCAAAAATCGATTAGTGGTGACTCCTAGATAAAAATTGATTTGCATGTTAACAACTTAAACTTAAGTCGCGAATTGGTATGGGCTTGGGAGAGCTCGAGCTAGGTTTAACTTAGTAATCCATTAGCCAAACCCCTTAGGCGGTGGGGCCGGTTCGGGTAGGTCGCGACATTTTCAATGTGGGGCATCGATATGATCGGTCCAATCAACCCTAAGGCCTTAAATAGGCATCGCTTCATCTTGGTGGCAATTGATTGTTTCACCAAGTGGATTGGAGCAAACTCTTACACAAATGTCACCGCCAAGAATGTCACAAGATTCATTAGGCGAGACATAATTGCTAGATATGGAGTTCCAGAAGCAATCATTATTGACAACGGCTCAAATCTAAATAACTAGATTGTGGATGATTTGCTTGAGCATTTTCATGTTTGACATTTGAACTCGTCCCCATATCATCCACAAATGAATGGAGCAGTGGAAGCAGCAAACAAGAACATTAAGAATATATTATCTAAGACAACTGAGAATTATCGTGACTGGCATGAAAGGTTGCCATATGCTCTAATGGCATACCGAACTTCAATTCGAACATCAACTGGGGCAACTCCATTTTCCTTGGTTTATGGAATGGAAGCGGTATTACCCATTGAAGTAGAAATTCCTTCATTAAGGATATTATCTCAATTGAAGCTTTCAGAGGTTGAATAGATTCAGCAGAGATGTGAACAACTCAACATGGTTGATGAAAAGAGGTTAAAGGCTATATGTCATGGACAAGCCTATCAGAAGAGAGTTGCCAAATCCTTTAGTAGAAAAGTGAAACCAAGGCATTTTAAGTTAGAAGATTTGGTAGTGACGAAAGTCATTCCCAATAATTCAGATCTCCGCGGGAAATTCACTCCAAATTATGAAGGTCCATATGCTGTCAAGAAAGTTCTTCTTGGAGGAGCATTGATTCTTGTAGATATTATTGGAACAGAATTGGCCCATCCTGTAAATGCAGATGTTGTCAAGATATTCTTTCCATGAAATGAAATGATTTGGGTTGGCAAAAGGACACTATAAGTGTCATAACTTGTGTACGGAGATCACTTTGGTGCCATAACTTTTTTTCGGATCACTTTGGTGCCAAGTTGGAGGAAAAACGATCACTTAAGTGTCATAAGTTTTTTTTGGATCACTTCAGTGCTAAAATTTTTGAAAAACGATCACTTAAGTGTTAAAATTTTTTAAAAACGATCATTTAAGTGCTAAAATTTTTGAAAAACGATCACTTAAGTGCCAATCTCTGGCGAGCCTCCGGTGAACCACGTCAGCTTCAGAAATTAATAAAAAAATACCACGTCGGATTTCCGGCGAAAAATTATGTACGGCACCGGAGTTGGCACTTAAGTGATCGTTTTTCAAAAATTTTAGCACTAAAGTGATCCAAAAAAAACTTATGGCACCAAAGTGAGCGCCGTACACAAGTTATGGCACTTGTAGTGTTCTTTTGCCGATTTGGGTCACTCTAGAACATATGCATATTATGCATATCATGCATTTTATAAACATGTTTGTTATTTTTGCAGAATAAAGCAAAAGGAGTTTAAGATGATCAAAGATCTCCAAATCCCCCAACGGAGTTGATAAAAGATAAAGGAAAGTATCGTTCCCAATCTACTTTCCTTGATGTCATCTTTTAATATGTTCTTCCTTTTTGTCATCCCCAGGGAGCTCAAAGACAGGAAGCAACGAAAAGTAAATCTCCAGCGGAATCAAAGTGGAAACATATAAGAGAATTGGCAGTAATCGTTCCAATTGTTGTTAAGAATTGTTCAAATGAATTTTAACACTTGATTCCTAATTTTGCATAACATTCATCAAGTCGAAAAGGAATCTTATCAAACCGATCAGGAATTTAAAAAAAAAAAACACAACAAACAAAACAATTTGGGTTTTAAAGAGTTTATTTTTCTGGAAAGATTGAACTTCTTTTTCCCCAAGCGGGTTGATGAGAAAGCTAAACAAAACAAAATAGATTATTTCAAAAATTATCTCAAAGAGTTTCAACCAAAAAAGTTTTGAAACATGCATTCTTTGAGCATACACCATGTATTAGAATTCCATAAAAAAGGATAATCTAACAAAAGGCTTTGGAAGATTTCAAAGAAATCGTTTGGATAAAATCAAATGGAAAGACCTTCAAATGATGAAAGGTAAGCCATGTCCAAACATGTCCCCTATACACTCGAGTGCAATGAAAAAGTGAGTGCTAAAAGTGAAGAATCTGGACTTAGTAAGTGTGATATGCATTATGGTATGCCATGTTGAGAATATTGTTGGGTATGTCTGGATTATTAAGTGTGCTATGAATGTTCTTGCCTTGATTTGGGTTGCGATGTTCGATGAATGGTTGCCATGTTGTGGCGGTTTACTAACGTGTAGGGCTTGTCTATATGCCAAGGCGAGGTAAGGGCGCCTGTTATTGATGTGCACATTGAATGGTAGAATTGCCTATCTAGAACTGTCTTGCGGTACGTGTTAGCTTAAGCGAGGCTTAGGTAGTCACTTATTGAGATTATTCTCATTGTTGTATTCCCCAAACCTTTCAGACCCTCGACCATGAACCTGAACGGTCCTCCATAACGTTTTGGGGTCCCAATGGATATGGACCATATGTTGACGGAGTACCCGGTGGGAGAGGATAGAGTTTATATTAGGTATGCGAGTACGATTGGGGTAGACGAGGGCGAGGCTGCTTGGCAAGCCCACACCTTTTTAGCTTGGTTTTACCGAGACAGAGATGCATTGTTTGGTCCACTATAAGGATTTGATGGTCCCCCTGACGACGGAGTTGAGGAGTGGGACCCCGTGAAGATCATGCCACCAAATGGAGTTGTCACTAGTTCGGATACCGGTCCTGAAGATTCGGATCCCAAGTTGGAGTCGATGGAGTCTAACCTCAAACCGGAGCCTGTTATATCCGAACCCGAGCCGTCTGACGACATGGCTAATTCGGGTTTGCTAGAGTATCTCGAGTCCGATCCGGAGACGCTGCTTGGGCATCATGGGGGCAATTGATAGGCTTAGTAACCCTGTCGGTTGTGTACGTCTTTTGGTAGAGAAGTTAGGCTAACCCAACCACCCGACCCTTTTTGAATGTGTGTGGTTTGTAGTGAAGACCTCTAGTAAGGCTTGTATGTTATGCTGTTGTAAGTAATGCCATATTTATAAAAGTGTTTCGTTGATGTGTTTCAATTGTCTCTTTATTACCCCATTGGATTGTATGTTGTATGGAGAGTTCGAATTGCTTTCGTGTGTGTTGTTCTTTAGTTCGTTCGTTTGGGTCAGCGATAAGTCCTGGGATGTCGCATTCTTATCGGCCTAGTCGGGATGTCTTGAGCTCGTGGGGATTGGGACGTGACATCCCCGTTTAGTTGGTATCAAAGCAAGATTAGCTCGATCCGAGCTTGGTCGAGGCCTGGAGTAATAAGAAGCGATGACCTTTGGGGTAGTTAACTAAGGAGACCTGTCGTGATCACAAGTTAGAATGTTTCATGTATGCTCATTGATCTTATGCTTGTGATTGCTGGATGGTTTATTATTAGTATGCTAAATTACAGGCACTGCAAGGATTAAGGTAAGAGCACAAACCCTATTGATTATGTGTTCCTCATGCTTGCTCTGTGGTTGCTTGCCCTATAATTGCTATTGTGATTTGCTGCTTAGGAATGTTAGACTTGAGTAGATGGCTTAGGTCTTTAATTCCTGGGCGGAATAATAGCAGGTTTGGGTGTATGGTGAAAACCTTGTGAGGATGAGCAAGCGGGGAATAAGGACAAGGGGCTAGTCTAGTTCTCAGACCGGAGTGGCAGAAGACCCACGAGTGGATGGGGTTCATAAGAGCTTTAGAGGAAATCGGGAATCTCATTGGAAGGCAGGCTCAAGAGAAAGCTGCCACTGTTGCTCAGGCTGCTGAGGCCATCGTTACTGTCGCTAATGGGGCTAATGGGAACCATGGTAATCATGGAAATAGAAATCGCCAGATGCACCAATTGGTGAAGCAATTCTTAAAGCTAAAGCCGATCAAGTTTGAAGGGAAAGGAGATCCCGAAGCTGCCACCCGTTGGGTTGAGGAATTAGAAAAGGCTTTTGAACTTTTGGGGTGCACGGAGGAGGAAAAGGTGACCTTAGCGGTCTATCAACTTCAAGGGAATGCAAGTGATTGGTGGAAGGCCACCCGAGGTAGTATCTTTTCAGAAGGCATGGGCCCGAACTGGAACACCTTTGTTGAAGCTTTCAACGGGAAGTATTTCTCTAAAAGTGCACAAGAGCAGAAGATGGTAGAGTTTCTACGGCTTCACCAGAATCAAATGATAGTGGATCAGTACGAGACGGAATTTGCAAGGCTGCCTAAGTTTGTGCCGAGAATGGTTGAGAATCTTTTGGATAAGGCAAGGAGGTTCTGGGATGGTCTAAAACCGGAGCTCCGTAGTCAGTTGATTCTGTTGAACTTGAGGGATTATAACGAGCTTTACGAGCGGGCTCAGATGGTTGAACGAGACATGACAAAAGGGGCTGCTGCTTCTAGATCGTGATACGCGCCGGCTAGGGACAATCGGAACTTTGGAAAAAAGCCTATGACTAGGAATAGGAGATTTGTCCCTCCGATAAGAAAGAACATCGGAAAGTCGAACCATTACTCCAATGCCGCATGTCGGTCTTGTGGAAGAAGGCACGAGATTGGCCCTTGCCCAAGTGGACCTCGAGCATGTTTTGGATGTGGCTAACATGGTCACCAAGTGAGAAACTGCCCGAACCGCCAAGTAAGACCGCTAGTACAACCGCGGTCACCTCGAGTAGGAATCAAATGATAGTGGATCAGTACGAGACGGAATTTGCAAGGCTGCCTAAGTTTGTGCCGAGAATGGTTGAGAATCTTTTGGATAAGGCAAGGAGGTTCTGGGATGGTCTAAAACCGGAGCTCCGTAGTCAGTTGATTCTGTTGAACTTGAGGGATTATAACGAGCTTTACGAGCGGGCTCAGATGGTTGAACGAGACATGACAAAAGGGGCTGCTGCTTCTAGATCGTGATACGCGCCGGCTAGGGACAATCGGAACTTTGGAAAAAAGCCTATGACTAGGAATAGGAGATTTGTCCCTCCGATAAGAAAGAACATCGGAAAGTCGAACCATTACTCCAATGCCGTATGTCGGTCTTGTGGAAGAAGGCACGAGATTGGCCCTTGCCCAAGTGGACCTCGAGCATGTTTTGGATGTGGCTAACATGGTCACCAAGTGAGAAACTGCCCGAACCGCCAAGTAAGACCGCTAGTACAACCGCAGTCACCTCGAGTAGGAAATCAGGCTGGAGCCGTCCCGCAAAGTAATCAGAACCAACCCCTAGCTCAAGGAAGGATTCACGCAATGGCTCGCAAAGAGGCGGAGGATGTGCCTGGCATGATCACAAGTACGGTCTCTTTATGTGATCATGTTGCTTATGCCTTATTTGATCCCGGAGCGTCGTACTCATTTGTGTCTGAGCAATTTGTTGCATTGACTGGTATTGAGCCGAAACCGCTAGAAGTAATGTTGTGTGTTATCACCCCTCTTATGGATAAAGTGCTGATTTCGTTAGGGTGCCCAGACTGCTATATTGTTATTGCTAGTAGGGAGAATTTGATTGATCTGGCTGTCTTGGCTATGTTTGATTTCAATGTTATTATTTATATGGATTTGTTGGTTAGACAGAGGGCTGTGTTGGATTGTGGTAGCAGGGTTATTTAATTTAATCCGATTGATTACTCTAGATATGAGTTTATGGGAAACCAAGGAGGAACCTCGATCCCTTGGATTTCGTCGCTTGAGGTGACTAAGTTGTTAGATGAAAGATGCCAAGGTTACTTAGCGACTGTAGTTGATTCGTCGATCGAGGAACCGAGGCTAAAGGACATAGCTGAGGTGTGCAATTTTCCTGATGTCTTTCCTCAGGAATTGCTGCGATTGCCACCTGAAAGGGAAGTGGAATTTGTAATTGAGTTGGCACCTGGGACGGAGTCGATCTCTAGAGCGCCCTACCGAATGGCATTATTAGAGTTGAAAGAATTGAAGGTTCAGATGCAAGAACTACTGAATAAGGGGTTTATTCGTCTGAGTGCGTCGCCGTGGAAAGCACCAGTGTTGTTTGTGAGGAAAAAGGATGGGTCATTGCATTTATGCATTGACTATCGGCAGTTGAACCAAGTAACCATCAAGAATAAGTATCCATTATCAAGAATAGATGACTTGTTGATCAACTGCAAGGGGCATCAATATTCTCCAAGATAGACTTAAGAACAGGCTACCATTAGCTAAGGATCAAGAAGGAGGACATATCGAAGACGGCATTTCGTACGAAATATGGACATTATGAGTTTACCGTCATGCCGTTTGGATTGACTAACGCCCCAGCTGCCTTTATGGATTTAATGAATCGGGTATTCAAGGAGTTCTTGGATCATTTTGTTATAGTGTTCATAGACAACATTTTGGTGTATTCGAAGAGCCATGAGGATCATGAGCAACATCTAAGGATGGTCTTGCAAATCTTAAGAGAACACGCACTCTATGCCAAGTTTAGTAAGTGCGAGTTCTGGCTGAATCGAGTGGCATTTCTTGGATATGTGATCTCTAGGGATGGAATTTCAGTGGATCCGACAAAGATCAAAGCAATCACGAATTGGCCAAGACCTACGACAGTGACGGAGGTTCGAAGCTTTCTAGGACTTGTGGGCTATTACAGAAGATTCGTGGAAAGATTCTCCGCGATAGCCACTCCTTTGACGCGTCTACTAAAGAAGAAAACATGGTTCAAATGGACGGACAAGTGCGAAAGGAGTTTCCAAGAGCTGAAGTATAAATTGACTACCGCCCCTGTGTTGACAATACCATCAGGTCCCGGAGGATATGAGATCTACAGTGATACGCCGCTAAAGGGATTAGGTTGTGTTCTAATGCAACATGGAAGAGTGGTCGCATACGCAGCGTAACAATTAAGGCCTCATGAGCTAAACTACCCAACGCATGATTTGGAACTTGCGGCTATTATCTTTGCGTTGAAGATTTGGAGGAACTATCTTTGTGGAGAAAGGTTTCAAATCTACATGGACCATCGGAGCTTAAAATACTTGTTTTCCCAAAGGGAACTAAACATGAGACAACACCGTTTGATGGAACTTCTCAAAGATTATGACTGCAACATTTTGTACCACCCTGGGAAGGCTAATAAAGTAGCGGATGCATTAAGTCGTAAGTCGAGCATCGCTCATATGATGGTTAAAGAGTGGACTCTACTTGAAGGAATACATGACTCGGAATTTAAGTTTGAGGTAGGTCACCTCTCGAGTCTCTTTGCTACTTTAAGGATCGAGCTGGAGATTCAGACGAAGATTAAGGTATCACAATCTACGGACCCTGAGATGCAAAAGATTTTGAGTATGGATGCAACTAAGAGGAAAACCGACTTTGAAGTCTCCGAGGACGGAATCTTGAAGTTTCGTGGACATCTATGCGTGCCAAATGATGCAAAGCTTAAGGAGGAAATATTAGCAGAAGCTCATCGCAGTAAATATAGTATTCATCCGGGCAGTACGAAGATGTATCAGAATTTACGTCGACATTACTAGTGGAACGGAATGAAAGTGGATGTAGCCAAACACGTGGCAAAGTGCCCAATGTGTCAACTAGTGAAGATTGCAAGCCTGGTGGACTATTGCGACCATCGGAAATTCCAGAATGGAAATGGGAGCATATCACCATTGACTTTGTCATGGGTTTGTCGAGTAGTTAGAGAGGCCATGACTCAATTTGGGTTATCGTCGATAAATTAACTAAGTCGGCACATTTTCTAGCAGTACGAAAGGACTTCGCAATGGATAGATACGCCGAGCTGTATATGCGATAAATAGTCCGTCTTCATGGAGTGCTAGTGACAATTACGTCGGATAGAGACCCTAAGTTTATAGCCACCTTTTGGAAAAGTCTTCAGATGGCTATGGGGACGAAGCTGCAATATTGTAAAATTCTGAATTTTCGATCCTTTTCCCGGGATTTATGAAATGAATATTTTGGCTAATGTACTTATAGTGAGATCTCACCCGGAACCGCGCATTCTCGGGAAGCTAACCTTAGTGGTAAGGCCATCACGGGATTGAGTTCGCGCGACCAAAGAACTCGACCTTGGTTCAACCTTCGACCATAACGATTGACGAGAGAATGTTTTAGGCCAACAGAGACCGATCTATTCGATCGATCGTGTCCGAAGGGAACTAGTGACAGACCCTCGCAATTATATGACAATCGAGGTTGCCTTGGCTCGAGCAAACTTAAACGTGACTCGACTTAGTGTCGGTCACGGGTGGAGAGCGCGTAATCCCAATGAGCCACCCGTTAGTAAGAGATAAGCTAAAGTCGTGATTGTCGATTTCAGTCATTTCTTGGAATCCGGGCCCGAGAATCGAGAATTTCGAAAGTGACAATTTTTAGCGGCCGATGGGGTTTTTGGTGTGGTCAACCTTGGGGCCACCCATTTCTGTAAAAAAATGGATTTCGGTTCGGGACCGGAAAAATGACCGTTTTGCCCCTGGGACCGCGAACGAATTTTGAGGACTGGTTTAAGTTGGTGGCCTGATAATTATTCTATGTGGCCGAAAATTTCAGGACAAGAATGCCCCTCTCCTCCCATGGTCAATTACCTTTTTGCCCCTTGAATTATTAGAGAGGGATGATCGTGGGCCATTGGATTTGGATAAGATCAAATCTTGACTCTTGGATTTGTGGGGTAGTTAGAAGGGTAATTTGGTAATTTTAGGTGGGGTATTAGAGACCAATTATTGGGGGCACCAAATAAATATCTATTTCTCTCTCTTTCTCTCTCATAATCCACCCTCTCTCTCTCCTCACCCCCACCGATCGGAATCTCTCTCTCCCTCCTTCCCCGTGCGTGAGCCAGCTTGGCCGGCCACCAGCTCGCCCAGCCGCCGGTCGACCCGGCCAGCCGTCCGCCGCCGCTGCCTCTTCTTCCTCAGGCACGCCTCACCGTCCGCCTGTCTCTCTCTCTCTCTCTCGCCCTATCCTGTTCAGCTCTGCCGCCACCGAGCCACCCCTGGCCGTCCTCCCCTGGTCGATACGACCTGATCGCCACCCCCAGCAGGCCGTTCGCCGCTCGCCAGCCGCCCGTCCACTGCACCTCAGCCGCTCGCTCGCCTGACCGCCGGCGACGCTGCTTGGTTGCTGCTGCTGGGCCGGTCGTTCCAACCCCCTGTCCAGCCCGTTTGTCACCCTTTCAAGGTAAGTGACTCCCCCAAACCTTACCTCGGACCTCGGGTATTGTTGGACGCGTTTAGGACTCGGTTTGGGTAGTTTAGGGGTTGTTTGAGGCATGTGAAGGAGGGGCTAGTTAATGATTGCTGTGGACTGATTTGTGGGAGGAAAATGCGAGGTTTAGGAGGCTCGGATAGGGCTGTGGTGACGCGTAATGATCTGAGCTGAATTGTTCGTTTTATTGGTGGTTTTATGGCTTGAATGGGCTTAATTGAATGAATGTATGGCTTGTGATTG